CCACCTCGGGGGGGCGCGGGGGGGGTTACTGCGTGCGCCCTGTGACTGTGTAACCCCTAAAGCCGTTAGTGAGGCTGATTAATTAGATGCCAGGAAATCACTGCTCTCTCCTTGCTGCTTAACTGGGTTCAGTATTTCTCCTGGGGAATGTGGTTTTGGTGTCTGGAGGCAGTTCTGAAGTAGGCATTTTTGATCAGATCACCTTTGGCGAGGTTAAACGGTGTTTCGGTCCAGCAGGTCATAAATTCCCAAGCTTTAAGCCTGGGAGGAAGAAAGATTGGATGAGCAGAATAATGCTGCCCGATTCCTACCGTAAGAATTTACTGGATGTGCATCGTGCATTGCATCAAAAATGAAACTGGAGCTAAAACGCCGGCCAAAAGCTTGCTGTGAAGAGCTTATGTTCAGCTGGGGAGATGTGGGGGTGGAAAGTGTGTACATGTGTGGGTGAAATGATACCCGTAGCTATTTCCTCTACTATAACAAGGTTTGTATTCTCTCCGAAGCTCTACAAAAGGTTTAATCTACCAGGAACTCCACCAGAATCGATGGGGCGAGGAAGAGACTGGAACGTGGACCTAATTCCCAAATTCCTTATGGCGAACGGTAAGCGATGCCGAGCTCCCGAATCCGCCTGTCACCGAATAACCGGCCCTTCGGCCATCGCGTTTCCCCCCGCCCCCGAGGGCTGCGCCACGCTGGCTCGAGCGGATCCCGCCCCCCTTTGGGCCAGGAGCCCCGCGGCTTCGGCCCTGTGGCTCGTGTTGGCCGCGGAGCTTTCGGGCTCAGAGGGTGGCTCCGGCTTGGAGCCTGCGGCAGCGGCGCGGCTGGAAGGTGCGAACGTCCGTTTGCCAACGTCCTCTCGAAGCGGTTGCCGAGTTGATGCCGCGAGTTTGTGCGTCGTTATCTCTCCGTGGCTTGGGAAGGAACGGTTGATTCCACGGTGACTCTTAATCCCTTTTGTTCCTATTTTATGGTTGGCAGCCTCTTCCTGACGCTACAAATCCTCATTCTTTGTGTGTTCTGGCACTGGGACAGGTCTTCTAGACCAAATCCCCTGTCGGTGAAGTGGTTATCAAGGCAAGCGAGTCCGGGGGCAGCTCCCTTTGCCAAATCCCCACCGCTTGCTGCCGGAATCTCTTGTCCCTGCAGCACGAGGGGACGGAGGTGTTGTGTAGTGCCAGCCTCGCTCGGGGTTCGGGTCAAGGTTTGGTTACTCTGGTCTCGGGTGGACCAGGAATCCCGCTGTGGTGTGTTCCGAAGGGACAGCATCCCCCTGGGGAGGGGACGGTGGGTGGGGACAGGTAAGTGGGCAGGGCCGAGGGCTAACTTGTGCCAAGCGGGCTGGCCAACGGATGCGCGAGGTGGGCTGGATCCGAACAGCGAGGCTGAGGAGCTGCTGTGGCGCAAAGATGCGACCTTGTTGGTCGTGTCGAGCGTGAATGAGCTGGCGGGAGCAAAGAGCAGCCGTGTCCTGCAGCGGGTTCACGTCCTGCAGAATGGCTTTTCCTCGCGGAAACCGCAGGAGCGGCAAGGAAGCTGTTAATTGCCTGTGAGAGAGCTTTAGAGCTGCCTGATCATTGTAGTAGATCATTGAGTATCTGCCACACCCCGTCTGTTACACAAGGACCTTAAGAGCTGTGCGGGTTGGAACGCGGCGCTGCCGTTGACGGGTTCGCTGGGCTGGAAGGAACAGTCTGCCTCGCGAGAAGCGCTGTCCTCTTGGCTTCTGGCCGCAGGCCCCTGCTTGACTTGTGCCAAACCTCCTTTCCAGGTCAGCTGGTAAAGATGCTGCTCTACACAGAAGTCACTCGCTACTTAGACTTCAAGGTGATCGAGGGGAGCTTCGTCTACAAGGGAGGAAAGATCTACAAAGTTCCCTCCACTGAGGCAGAAGCCTTGGCATCCAGTGAGTAGTTGCACCTTCCTTGGTTTCCTCTAAACACGGGCGAGACAGGTCTGCGCCACCCACGTCTCGGGGTGTTCTGTGCTCACGTAGGAAAGAACTCTTGACGCTCCTCCTCACGTGGTGCTGGGTGTAGGCTCCGTCTCAGCGGTGAGCTGTGCTTAGCGCAAGGTTCTTCTGCATCTCGTTTGACTTCAAACACCACTTGCCCCGTGAGTCTTGGGCTGCCTGAGCCTCGAGTTAACTGTTTTCTTGGAGCTTTCAAACGGAGCCCGTCAAGCTGCCTGCTCCGCAGCTCATCTCGTGAGAATTTGGCAGCATTTTACTTCCTCGAGAGGCTCCTTTGGGGGCTTCTGCTCCCAGCTCTGCCATAAATATTTAACGTTGGGTCCTTGTTGGGTGGAACTGTGTGTGTGTGTGAAGAATGCTGTCGCATGTGTCAAGCAGGCAAGTTGGAATGACTGAATCCAATGTGGGGCACTTAGCTCCAATCCTCGTTGTTGTCTCCTTAAATTTCACCCCTCGGATAATACCGTGGTCTCTTAAGAGCTTGGTACTGGCAGAAGGAGGAGGTGCCTTTGGCGTCGCCTCTGCCTTCGTGTCTCGGCGAGTCCAGTCTTGCTTCTCCAATTTGTAGACAATTCAGATGCATAAATGGTGCCTTGTCCAACCTCCCGTTGGAAGTTTTGACCCTCCCAGCGCTTGCTGGTTCCTGGGCGAGGCTGCAGGAGAGCCCGGCGCCGCCTGCTTTGGGGATGCCAAGCCGGGTAGATCCCAAACGCAGGTCTCTGCTTACGGAAGCTCGGGGTTGGCCTTTACCCCGGCCCAAGTGGGAACTGCTCTCCAGGCTTTCCTCCAGCTGGAAGGAGGAGCCCAGCCTCTGGCCGTGCCTCGAGAACAGTTGGCTGTAGCACCTCTTGAGCTCCAGTACACCAGGACAGCTGCCTGGGTGGACTGGCGTGGCAGACGTTGGTGTCTCCCGCTCGAACGGAGCGCCTTGGTTAGCCCTCCAGGCCAAACTCTGCCGCATCCAGTGACGTCTGAAACGCTCCCCTGCCGCCGGTACTCTGTGGCAACGGAAAAGCCCTTTAGTAGCCGTGTCAGTTTTGACAAATTCCCTTGTTTTCAGGCTTAATGGGCTTGTTCGAGAAACGCCGCTTCAGGAAATTCCTAGTGTACGTCGCCAACTTCGACGAGAACGACCCCCGAACTTTCGAAGGCGTCGACCCCAAGAAGACCACCATGCGCGACGTGTATAAGAAGTTTGACCTGGGCCAAGACGTTATAGACTTCACGGGCCACGCCCTGGCGCTCTACAGGACTGACGAGTAAGTGCGGGTTCGGTTGCTCCCCCAAATCAGCCGGGGGTGCAGGGTTCGAGGGGGTGGGAAGCGTGTCTGTCCCCGGGGTGCTGCGTGAATCTTAACACCTTGGGTCCTCTGCTGGTGGGATGTTTAAACTCTGTGGGTTCCTGGCGTTCACGAAGCGTCTCCTTCCTGAATAAAACCCCTCGGGACACTCAAGTGCTTCTAAAAGGGAACGTCTCGCCAGGAGCAGCCGGAGGGTGGGGAAGGAAACTTTGCGGGAAGTAAATGTTTCGCTCTCTGCGTCTCTTCTGCTGTGAGCCTTGGTTTGTGAGACGCTGCAAATCGCGTTAACTGCGCTCTCCAGCTATCTAGATCAACCCTGCCAGGAAACAATCAACAGGATTAAGCTCTACAGCGAGTCGCTGGCTAGATACGGCAAAAGCCCCTACCTTTATCCCCTCTACGGCCTTGGAGAGCTGCCGCAGGGATTTGCAAGGTGAGAAGAATCGGGATTTGGACTCCAGTCTTTTTTTTTCTCAGTGCTGGTCGGGGGGGAGGGGGGATCAGATGTGCGGTCAGGCTTCCAGAAGGTGATGCCCCATCATTAATGGTTCTGTCTTCATCCAGAAGCGATTCCTCCACGCGAGGCTGCTTCTGTCCTGGCTTGTGCCCTGCGATTCCCGTCAGGGTGGTAGCTCTGGGTTTGCTCAGAGACGCTGCTTGCAGCGAGGAGTCTATCCACGAGGGCGGATTTGTCTGCGTGGTGTAGCCTGCAGCTCTAGGACTGTCTGGGTTGCACCAAGCGGGTTCTTTCTAGCTGGGTGTCATCGCGCTAATAACTTGCTCCAAACACCGGCTGGCGCCTCGCAGGAAGAACAGCGGCTGCGTCGATGTTGAAGCAGCGCCTTTCGAAACGAGCCGGACTCGAGCGTCGGGGGGGTTTGTCCAAGTGGAACAGAAACAAGGGGCTGGAAGGGTTGTTTAAAAACCCCGCGGGGACCACGCTGAAGTGGCTTTCCTCTTGCAGGCTAAGTGCTATATATGGAGGCACCTACATGCTGAACAAGCCCATCGAAGAGATCGTGATAGAAAATGGCAAAGTGGTTGGTGTGAAGTCTGAAGGGGAGGTACGGTACCTTCTGGGTCTTCTCCCTTACTGCCCACCCCACCTCTTGCCTCTCAAAACAGAGGCTGTCGGTCATCCAGCTGGACAAATGCAGTAGAAAAAACCCTCGCCACACCCTGCTCCCCCCCCCCCCTGCGCTGGTTTTCCCTGCGTCACCCTCACTTGAGGGGTTTCCCTGGGGAGGGGGGAGGGAAGTCACCCTCACTTGAGGTGTTTCCCTGGCGAGGCGGGCAGTACAGGAGTCCCGCTTCAGGAGCTGGACTCTCCACGGGGTGGCAAGGTTGTGTTCTGAGCGAATCAGGCTGGCTAGAGTGGAAAGGAGCTGCTTGCTCGGGTCTAACCCGGGTACGGAACCAGCTCTGCCCTTGACATGGAGCAGTAGCTGCTCGGGCAGCTGGCGCGCAGCCTTGCGAGCTGCTCGGAAGCTATAAATGTGCTCCCAGCTGGAGCTGGATGGTTTAGCACTTGCTGGTGGGGTAAGGTGTCCCCTCTGGGTGGGGGGTGACGT